TGTCACAAGTTGATGGGAAGGTGAGATGGGATTTGGAGCATTTTACCTAGACATCAGAAACAAAATGTGTGTTCTCAGGATTAACACATCTAATCTGGAAGAAACCTGGGGTCATCAGGACTTGCAAACAGTAACTTTTTTTCCCAATGCTAATGGTCCCTTAAAGAAAACTGAAAGCTAGCTGCCCATATCATCTTACCTGGGGCAGTGGGGGTGGGGGCGGAGGGCGGCTAAAGATTTAAAGTGGAGTCTTCTTCACCCTCACTTTTAAGGAGAAATTCAAATCTGGTGGTTAATGATACGGATTCTACAGGGGTTGTCTTTTCCCTTCAGTTCAAACAAAAGTGAAGGGAAAAAGAAAAAAAAAAGCCAGCTCGTGAAAGAGGGCACAGTTAAAATAATTGAGAAAAGGAGCCAGTGAGAAAGTGAGGGGGGATCCCTCCATGGTCTCTGGAAATTTAAAAGAAAACAGGATCTCTGCTCCCAGCTTGGCTTCCAAGCAGTTGCTGCTCTTGGAAATAAATGGTTTCCCCCGCCGCCAACAGAAAAGCCCAATTAGACAAGAAAATTATCTTGAAAGGCGGTGCAAGGCTTGGTACCTCCATTTTTCAGGAACTGGGAGGAAGAGGTAAGTGGCTGGTCAGGTCCGGGTAGTTCCCCGGAGCATCTAAATCAGATACTCAGAGTTCTTCTCCTGCTCTGTTATTAATTTATCTCCTCTCCTCATCTTTCCCTTCAAGCCCTTCCTATTTTGCCCAAACCTTCAAAGTGGAATATTGGCCCAGCCTGGAGAACCTCAGGAATGAAGCTAAGTATTGAGTTAGGATCCCCAGCAGGAGAAAGGGCACTGTGTTTTCCAATGCCCTGCAGGCAACGGTGCAATCACACCTGTGCCCATCAGCTCAGGACGCAGCCTCTGCCCTGAATGATTCCCATCGACTACATCTTCATTAAATGATTGCATCTGGCGCTTCCCATCCCATTACTGCGGTTCTGACTCCTTTCCTGGCTTGGGGGAGGGGCTGAGCCCCGAAAACCATGCTACCATGAGGCCAATCCCATTCCTCTTCCCCCCCTCAAATAAGCAAAGCTGCAGGCAACAGGACAACACATTCCACTGAAAAAGCACAACGAGGTATATTTCAAAGTAACTGGAAGAGAGGACTATCAGTGACACTGAAACATAAAAAGAGTAAACACTCAAGGCCGTGGATACCCCACAAACCCTGCCTTGATAATTCCATGTTCTATGCATGTAACACACACACACGCAGCCCATAAATACATGAAATATGAACAACCAGTACAAGAGAAAAAAGTCACCACTAGGATGTGAAAAGAGAACTGAGCGCAAGAAAGCCCTTACAGGTCACAGCTCTGGTTCCGTCACCGTGCTAAATAACTGACCTGAAGCCATTTCCTTTTCTCCTGTGTCTTTAAGGCTGAAGTCAACCTGGGTCCCCATCTCCGGGCTCCCTGGGCCTCCCCGTATCCCTGCCTGTCTGCAGGCTAATTCAGTGTACTCAGAGCGAGTTTACCTGAGAGGAGAGACGGCTCCAGTCGTTCCTCTGGGCTCTTCCACCGCCGACTTTCCTCTAGCCAGACCCTCCCTCACTTCTTTATCCTAATTGAAGAGCCCCCACCTGAGATCTATATCCCCCTGAGGGCCCACCACATGGCTTTAATCCTAGTTACTCCTCCAGGTTCTGCCCAGACCTCTCCTTCCTGGTAAGCCTCTCCCTTCCTGACCAGCCATGCCTCTGGTGACCCTGTCATTCACCCTTCATGGCCCATGACATCTGGCCCTTCCGTACAGTAAAGAGGCGAAGTGCATGAGCTCCGGGCCAGACATGGTAGGTTCAAATCCTGCCTCTCCTTTCTATAGCTACTTGTCATCTAGGGTAGCTTCTTTTGTTTCTTGTGACATCCCTCAGTTCCTTCTTCTCAGCCGGGTTCCAGGCAGCGGCTCACAACTGTAATCCCAGCACTTTGAGAGGCCAAGATGGGAGCATCGTTTGAGCTCAGGAGTTCAAGACCAGCCTGTGCAACCCTGTGAGACCCAGTCTCTCCAAAAAAAAAAAAAAAAAAAGCTGGGTTTGGTGATGTGAGCCTGTAGTCCCAGCTACTTGGGAGGCTAAGGTGGGAGAACTGCTGGGAGGTGGAGGTTGCAGTGAGGAATGACTGCACTACTGCATTCCAGCAGGGTGACAGAATGAGATGTAGTCTCTAAAAAAAAAAACAAAAATAAGTTCCTTCTTCTGCCTGTCTTCTCAGCTACACTAGAAGATCTTTAAGGAAGAGGACCCTGCCTCCGACTTCCTTCCTTCTCTGCCACAGCTGACACAGCGCCCGAACATGACACAGAAGCTTCTCAAGAAACATGACATTGATCACTGCTGTCTAGCAGGCATCAGGCCCACTGAATAGCCACATGTGAGGTCTGGATTCTTTCCTACATCCCTGGGCCTTGGGAAAGAGAAGATAATTTAGTAGTACTCACTGATAGGGTGACAGATGCGGAAAGAACACAAACACACATGCGCAGGTACATGCATATGTGGTTAAAGGATTTGTCCAAGGTGCCTGGGAGTTCACTGAATTCCCAGCAGAGCACAGGCATGGAGGAGGGTCTGTTCCCTGCACTCAGCCCCTTAGATTACCCAGTCCCTCATTTTTATCCAATGGAGCATCCCCTTTCTGCATTTGACCCCTTGTGGCAAAGTTCATTTCACTTTTTTTTTTTTTTTTTTTGGAGACAGAGTCTTGCTCTATAGCTCAGGCTGGAGTGCAATGGAGTGATCTTGGCTCATTGCAACCTCCGCCTCCTGAGTTCTCCCGCCTCAGCCTCCCGAGTAGCTGGGATTACAGGTGCCCACCACTACGCCCAGCTAATTTTTGTATTTTTGGTAGAGAAGGGGTTTCACCATGTTATGCTGGTCTCAAACTCCTGACCTCAGGTGATCCACCTGCCTCCGTCTCCCAAAGTGCTGGGATTACAGGCATGAGTCACCACACCCGGCCCACTCTTTTTATACTTAAATTTCCCCTCCTCTTACACACCTAAGAACCTGGTCCGATTCAGTTCACCCGGAAAATGGACAGTGAGTTTCTTCTTGGATGGAATATTATTTTTGGAATCTCCCCATCCGCCCCCCTTGACCTGTGCAGATGAATCTGTGCTCCATGGAGTGGGCTTCTGACCCTGAGAAACATAGGATAAAATATTCTTCTGTTAAAGGCTACCATCTTCACCTGACTGTAGAGACACAGAAACTGAGCTCCTCTCCACTATTCCTGTAGTAACTGTGCTGCTGAGATAAGCTTTTCCCCTATACAGGAGTGGCTGGCTGTTCGAGGCAGATTACCCTGGAGGGCAGGCACGGCTTCATTCCCGCTGGGTTATCATAGGCTGCAGTGCAGGGGCTATTGCACAGGTCCGAGCACTCTCACTGGGCAGGGTAACTCCCAGTCTTCCTCCTGTCCAGAGCTCGTGGGGAGGCACCGCAGCTTGTTTTGAGCACTAGAAGCCATGTGTGAGCTGGAAATGGTGCCAAGTCCTCTTTCTAAGCCCCGGCTGGGGCGTCAACAGCGCCTAAAATCCACTCTGGTCCCCTGTAGGGTCTGATCTTTTCTCCATCTCCGCGGGTCTACCTTCTTAAATGTTTTTGGACTTACGGAAAGTGATTTCTTAGTTGTCAGGCCTGGTTTTAGGGAATGACATTGCTGTTTTGGGGATGCCTACAACTTTAGGTCCAGAGGCAGACAAAGAGAGGAAAACAGTGGGTACCAGCTGCCCAGACCCCGGCCACTCCGGGCTCCCTGCATTCCAATCTGGGGCCCCACTGTCTCGAATCTGACTTAGAGAGCAGGGACTTTTTTACAGCACTGGTGCTCTCTGGGGTACAATTTTGGGTGGAGGAAAAAATAATTGCATTTCTTTCACATCCACCCACAATACTAACATCCTAAAATTACAGCTCCTGGAATAAAACAATGGAACACAACCGCTTGTGACAGAGTCATTTTTGCATTGACTGTCCTGCCTGAAACACTTTTAGAAGCTCTGAGGAGGGATTCCTCAGACTCTTCTGTAGCAACGATTTCCTATGCGGACTTACTGGTGTGTGTAACAAAGTGCCATAAAGCTTCCCTCCAGTGCCCCGGCAGGTAAGACAAACACACACAGACACACACACTCATATAAGCCAGAGACACATGTGGCCAGATGAGATGGTCAGGGAATTGCTACTTACACACACACACACGTGCAAACCCAGTGCATTTATCAACATATGTAATCCAAAAGAAAGCCTCACTGATTTGAACTCCATTCCCGGGAACACCCACCCTCTGTCCCTGCTCCAAACTGACCGTGAACCACTACAGTCCCCAAATCATAAGATAAATAACATGCCCGGCCAAGAGCCACGCCGTCCCGTAAGAAAAGGATTTTTCAAGCTTACCTGCGTGGGTCATGAACTTCCACGGAAAACTTCTTTTCTCTGAAATACAGGTTTTCCAACTGTCTCCATTGGAATATCTGGACAGAAAACAATGTAGTTTAAAACTTAGGACGGGCTGGTTCCTGGGCCGTCTTCCCTGCTCTGCCCGTCAACTTTCCACAGCTGGTAGTTTCCTTATCAAAGCAGAGACTGTAGTTTGTGCTTCCTCCGCCCCTTGCTTGACACACACACACACACACACACGGACACAGGCAGCTCTCCAGTTCAAAACCAGGCAACGTGGGTGTGGATTTTCCTGCAGGTTCCTTAACTGGAACAAAACAAGTTCTTTTCAAGTTCTCCGCCTTTGGTTGGCTTTTGTTGGTGTGCCCCTGGCGGTCCCCAGCTTGGCAGACTTTCCCCTTCCAGGAGAGGGAGGAGAGGTGGAGACGGGAGACAGGGACCGAGCAGAGAAGGCGCAGGGTGAGGGGAGAGGAGCGAGAAGCGAAGAGCGAGCTCTCAGGAGGGAGCGGTGGCCATCTGCGTGCAGTGCCGAGTCGGGCTTCCTCCCTCCAGTGCTGAAATGGGAAGGCGTTCAGATTCCCAGCCTCCCATCGGGACTCCACTTCCTGCTCACTAATGTGTAAGAGCCTTGCTAAGGGCGGAGGAGGCTGGGACCTTATTTCGGGGGCAGGCAACTCAAGATCACAGTGTGAGCCTGTCAAGCCCATTCTTCCTGCTGCAGCACAAAGAAAACCGAGAGTTCTGTGGCCCGGAAGGACGCCGCTTGCAGCTTGGCCAGGGAGGGTGAGAAGGGGCATGAAGGGGCCCTGGCGGTCCTTCCCCCTTCGGACCAGTGAGCTCGTTAACTAAGAAGCCGACTGTAATGTTTGGAAGTAATTAGGGCTGCCTCCAATTGCTCCAGGAACGCGGTTCCTTTCATTCATTGGATGCAAAAGAAAGTTACTTTCACCCTCTGGGAAATGTCACAGGAGGTTCAAGTTGCGTGCACACACATTTACATTCATATTTGATGGTGACTGCATCCCCTTCAATACACTTGGAATTTCGGTTTATTTTGCAGAAAGAAGGGGTAAAGCAGGAATCTTGTTTTTGCCATTCTGCGGGGAACAGCTTCCCTGAGCTCCCCGCTTTCTCTGGTCTCTGAGATGAATGCTTTTTAGGGTCTTACCCCCAGAGTTCTCAGACCTGAGGCTCCTGACCCTCTCTGGCATCCTTATGTTCTCTCCACCTTGGAGACGTGACAGCCATTTCCTGTATCCCACCCACCTGTCTTCCCACGCTGGGGACAGGCTAGTCAACAGCTGGCCAGTGGACCCAGCACCCCGAATAATACTGGGCTGGAGTGAAAACGGCCTCTGGAATGGCTGCCTTCTTTTATCTTCATAATCTGCTCTCTGGGATTTTACAATTATTTTGTCTGTGTAAGTACTGGGAAGGAGAATATCTATTATCTCTTATTATAGAGCGGCCTCTTTTGTCCCGGGCTCAGAGCGAATTTCACTCTGAAATCCAAGGAAATAGTATTTTACTTTCTTGTTAAGCATCAACTCCAGGTGGGTGGAGAGACATTGCAAGGAAAGCAAATGGCCCAAAGCCGTATGTTGGCTGATAGCTTTGTGTCACAGATTCGACAGCACCTGAGCGAGTCTCATGCTCCTATCTGATGCTTAGTCACTATAAATCTTTCAGTGAAAACACCCAAAGTTCCTCTCTGGTCCCCAGTTGTTATATATTCAGAGACATTCCACCTGAACTTAGCCAGAGCTACAAAAATACCAGAATGAACAGGTTCTATGGCATTGGCCTCATAACCTGGGGGCAGTAGGCTGAGCAAACTGGTCAGGCACGCAGGCTTTGCAGTGTGACTGCATCTGTTCCAATCCACGCTCTCCTACATTAAAAAAAAAAAAATTTGAGACAGTCTTGCTCTGTCCCCCAGGCTGGAGTGCAGTGGCATGATCTTGGCTCACTGCAACCTCTGCCTCTCGGGTTCAAGTGATTCCTGTGCCTCAGCCTTCTGAGTAGCTGGGATTACAGGAGTGCGCCACCACATCTGAATAATTTTTGTATTTTTTAGTAGAGACGGGGTTTCACCATGTTGGCCAGGCTGGTCTCCAACTCCTGGCCTCAAGAGATCTGGCTGCCTCAGTCTCCCAAAGTGCTGGGATTACAGGGATGAGTCACCATGCCCAGCTCAGACTCCACTAATTCTGAGCTTCTGGATCTTACACAAGTTACAGTACTTCCTTTAGCCTCAGTTTCCCCCTCTGTAAAATGGCAAAAAGGACCCCTATGGGAGATCTCAGCAGCTGCAGATCTTATCACGGTGCTGGCACAAAATGACCTTAGAGCTTACTATGAATCCCAATTGTTCTTACTTCTTCCAAAGGCTGGCAGACTAAAAGAGAGTCATTCCAGAACAACCAGAATCATTCTTTTCTTAGATTTCCTAACTCAAGCACCAACTTTTGGGTTTTAAAAAAATTAAGTGTGTGCTGCAAATCCTTAAATAGAGATAATTTTTCTCCCACTGCCCCTCCTCCCCTCCTCTTAAGTAAGGGATGTGGATGGTACTTCAATGAAAATTTCCTGCTGGCTGCCCCCGACGGGGGTCTCTCAGTCCCTATCCTGCACCTGCCTTGCTCAGGCAAAGTGAAGTCTTGGACAGGATCAGCCTTCTGGGTGTGCCACCTGAGGGCCCTTTGCTGAGGTCTTTGGCTTAGTTTCACAATCTGCTGTTGACATCTTGAAATTCCTAATAGTTTTTTCATTCTTTCTTTCTGTCCTTTCCTTCTTCCTTTTTCTCTCTCCCTCCCTCCCTCCCTCACTCCCTCCCTCCCTTCAATTTTTTTTGGTCTTCGTCTTTGTTGCTACATGCTTTAAAAACATTATTTCCATAGGTTTTTGGGGAACAGGTGAGATTTGCTTCCATGAGTAAGTTCCTTAGCAGTGATCTGTGAGATTCTGGTGAGCCCATCACCTGGGCAGTATACACTGAACCCACCTAATGGTTGGATCAAAGGACCCTGTATTTCCATTCTGCACTGGGCCCTGCTCATTGTGGACTTGGTCCTGGCCTTACATCCTGGCAGGTACTGTGGGGTGAGGTCCCTGCCAGCCTAATGGGCAGGCCCAGGGAGGTGGGACCCTCAAACCCTCCAAGAGGAGGAAAGAAAACAGAACCAGGTATAAGCATGCTTGAGAAAACCCCTGTGCCTTTCATGGGAAGCCCCCTTCCCACCTGATGAAGAATCCCAGCGTACAATGCTCCGAGGGGCTGTTTCCCTGGCAACTCCTCTTTCCCCCATTCCATGCAAAATAAAACACAAACCAAGCCTTGCTTTAAGTGCTCCCTGATGCAGTTCGGCGTGGAGAGCTGCACGTCTGCCAAAGGGCCGGGACAAAACCATCTGGATTCTGCTGCAGCGCCCCGTCCGTGGCTGCTGTACTGCCCGTGGGAAGGCCCTGCCTCCAGCTTCTGCCCTTGGCCATGAACCATGGAGTCCTGGCTCCCAGGCAGCTCCCCGGAATGATGCACTAGACATTTTTGTAACCGGGTGCAGAACAATGGATTCCCCTGATGCTTGCTTTAAGCATGATTTTTTGTCTTGCAAATGCAATCCTGGGAAGGAAGGGTAAAAGTGAGGTGAAGGGATGGGCGATTTTCAGGATCAGATTCTTGCATTGAGACATTAGAAGGGTCCAGGAATAGTCCGGGCACAGTGGCTTATGCCCAGAATCCCAGCACTTTGGGAGGCTGAGGTGGGTGGATCACTTGAGGTCAGGAGTTCGAGATCAGCCTGGCCCACATGACGAAACCGCATCTCTACGAAATATACAAAAATTAGCCGGGTATGGTGGCGGGCGCCTGTAGTCCCAGCTACTCAGGAGGCTGAGGCAAGAGAATCACTTGAACCTGGGAGGCAGAGGTTGCAGTGAGCCAGGATCACGAGACTGCATTCCAGCCTGGTGACAGAGCAAGACTCCCTCTCGAAACAAACAAACACAAACAAAAACAAACGGGTCCCAGGAACAGAAGAGGAGGTGTACATGTCGGAACAGTGGCCTGATCCTTTTTTCTTCTCTTAGGAGGGAGGGGGTGAGCTGGGGAGCAGGAATATGAAGGCAGCAGGGACCTGGAGGGTGGGAGCAGCTGCTCCTTGCCCAGAGCTGGGAGCAGCTTGCTGGAAAGGCATCGTGCTCTTCATGGGGGCATTTCTGCACATGGGCTCTTGTGCTCATGGCTTAGAGGCCCTGCCTGTGAAATACTTCACTCTGAGGCTGGCAGAGCAAACACAACAAGCAAATCAACAAACAGGAGATGCTCCATCTAGCCTCCCTTTCGTCAACAGGGTAAAGTGGGCTCTGACTGAGCTGGTTTCTGGGCAGCCCCAATGGTCTGCGCCACATCAGGGGAGCATCCCCAGCTTGTGCTGGCCCAGCGTAGCCCTCATAACCCACTGCCACATAAAGCTGCCAACACGCTCTGCCCCTCCGTGTAAAGACACAGCAGACACCCACAGTGATCATCAGGATGACTGGGCAGGTTTCCTTAGGATTTTGTGTAACTCCCATGGCCAATTATGCCCAAGGAGCTAATTAAAAAGCTAAAATACATAGTTGTACCAATAATCAAAGAAGGTATTAATTCGTACCTATTAAATCAAGGCGTTTCTAATGCACTTCATTTAGGCATCTTTAAAAAGCCCTGCAAACATCGTTCCTTTGATCTTTTGGCATCCCCCAAGAAGAGTGAGTGGGAAATTTACTTCTTGGGGTAAATGAGGTCCAGAGAAATTAAGGAAAACTGCCTAAGGCCACACAGCAAGTAAGTGAGGGAACCAGAAATAGAATTCAAGGGCACCTGGTCCATTACTCTAACCTCTAACTATGTTGCTTTCCCCAGGAGTCCACCAATTAGTGGGTACAACTCTCACTGACTAATGGGTGGTTAACTTTACAAGTGGAATGAGTTTTACAAATGAGCTACAATATGATTAAGGAGAAAGTAAAAGAGCAAATCTTTCTCATCCTGCACCATGGCCTGGCTTTACTTATTTTTTTTTGAGACGGTGTTTCACTCTTGTTACCCAGGCCGGAGTGCAATGGCGCGATCTCGGCTCACCGCAACCTCCGCCTCCTGGGTTCAGGCAATTCTCCTGCCTCAGCCTCCTGAGTAGCTGGGATTACAGGCACACGCCACCATGCCCAGCTAATTTTTTGTAGTTTTAGTAGAGACGGGGTTTCACCATGTTGACCAGGATGATCTCGATCTCTTGACCTCCTGATCCACCCGCCTCGGCCTCCCAAAGTGCTGGGATTACAGGCGTGAGCCACTGTGCCTGGCCCTGGCTTTACTTTTTTACGGTAAATGATAACAAGCATTCTTTCTTTCTTTTCTTGGAGTCCTGGCTTCCTCTAGTTTTCTACACAGCAGTGCTTCAGTACTCCGTAGCTTTCATCCAAAGACTAAAACACAGCTACAGTTGTGATGAAGAACAGCCTGGGCCGGGCGTGGTGGCTTGTGTCTATAATCCCTACTACTTGGGAGGCTGAGGCAGGAGAATCACTTGAGCCCAGGAGGTGGAGGCTGCAGTAAGCTGAGATCTTCCACTGTAC